CCATGTCGGAGGACGGGGGACCCGGACTGGAAGCCAAAAGAAAAGAGAGAGTAGGGAGAGGAAGGAAGACCAGCGTCCTAGAGTTGCCGCAGGTCAGCGGCAAGAGTTGCCACCTGCGCCTGTAAGGACGCAAGAAGGGAGGGGAGGAGGGTGTGTTGATCCCCTTGGGGCTGATGGCCCTGGTCCACCGATGGAGTCCAGTGTCAAGGTCGTCGCCGAGTCGACGGCTTGTGACACGTCGTCGACCATGAGGAGGTGACGGGCTAGAGGAGTCCGCGTGAACAGAGGGCGTAGGGGGGGGGATCGCGATAGAAAACGACGGGCGGCACTAGCGAGTCGAGCGCGGGTGCCCGCAAAGGGGTAATGGTGGCTCGCATCCAAGATACCCGAATGGAAGGAGGAAGTAGGGGGGCTAGGAAAATCCTAAACCCTCAGATGAAATTATTGAATCCTAAATATTCAAAATAGATTGACTTGACATTACAATCAAAACAAAAACTCAAAGAGATATAGTCCATTTTTTATTTAAATTCAAAATGACCCTGGTAGTCCATGCCATAAACGACGAGTGTTTGTCCTTGGTCGAGGCCCGATGGTTTTTGGGGGCGATTCGATGAGGGACCTAGCTAACGTGTTAAACACTCTGCCTGGGAAATACTATCCCAAGGCTGAAACTCAAAGGAATTGACGAGGGTCTGCACAAGCAGTGCATGTGGATTAATTAAGGAAATAAAATATGAAGAGAAAAACAATATTTTTTTTTTTTTTAATTTTTGACAGCATTTGTGTCAAAGGCTGAAACTCAAAGGAATTGACGAGGGTCTGCACAAGCAGTGCATGTGGATTAATTAAGGAAATAAAATGTGAAGAGAACAACAATATTTATTTTTTTGAAATCTTCGACGGCATTTGTGTCAAAGGGAAAGGAGAGACCAAGATAAGCAAAATAAGTTTCAAAGTGCCTCAAATTAAAATAAAAAAATATATATAATAATAAAAAAATAAAAAAACAAAATATTAAGAGCAAATCAATATTTATTTTTTTGGAATTTTAAGCAGCATTCCCCTACCCCCCATGGGGTCAAAAATGTGCCAAGGAAAATGGAGAGACCAAGATAAGCAAACTAAATTTTAAAGCAGGGCAAAGTAAATGGTTAGGAAGACGACCCATTGCTCAACGTGTTGCTATGAATCCTGTAGACCATCCTCATGGAGGAGAAGAAAGACGTACGAAGGAGGCTGAAGATCCATTTCCCCTTGGGAAAAAACAACCAAAGGTGGATTTAAAACAGTAGTAAGAAAACAAAAGAATTAAGTTATGTCACGATCTAGATGGAAAGGTTCATTTGTAGATGCTCCCCGCGAGGTCAAAATGTGTGCTGAAAGCAAGAATGACTAACTCCTAATCAGATGTAAGGGTGCCGCAAATAAATTCAAATTAAAAAAAAAAAAGATAAAATTTTCAAAGTTGGGGGCGAGGAGGGGGGGGGATAAGAAGTGAAGAAGAAAAGAGAGAAATAGGTGAGAGAGAAAAAAAAAGTGAAGGGGGAGATGAGGGTAGTGATGGGGTTGTAGTTAGGGGAGAGGAATGTGAGGGAATGGGAGAGAAAGGGATGGGAAAGGTGGAGAGGGATCAAGAAGCAAAGAGAAAAGAGAAGGAGATAAGAAAAAATAAATGAATGAAATAGAGTAAAATAGTGGGTGGGAGAAAGAGGCAGTCGAAGGTGGGGGGAAAATAAGGGGTTGAGGAGTGAAATAAGAAGGAGAGAAGGAGAAAGTTGAAAAAGGTGGGGAGAGGGATATGAGTAGTGAGTGCTTAGAGGGAAAGGCGGGGAGGGGGTTACAAGTAGTGAGAGTGATTAGAAAAGAAGGGGTTGAGGTGTGGAATAAGAAGGACAAAACGAGAAAGTTGAAAAAGATGGGGAGAGGGGTACGAGTAGTGAGAGTGATTAGAGGGAAGTGAGCGAGGTAGAAGAGGAAGAAGTAGAAGGGGTGAGTTAAAGGAAAGATAAAAGGTGGAGAAAGTGGATTAGTAGGGAGAGCGAATAGGGATTTGATACCTGGCCCTTGATGTCTCCAAGGGCACAAGGTTTACTTGAACCAGGAGTGTCTTGGCCTTCGCTGCAGCGAGCCAGCTAGAGGATAGAAGGGGCCGCGATCTTGATCAGCCCCTAGCAGCACCACCGCAAATCCAGGGTGTGTTCTGCGAGCAGACCCTCACCACTGTAGAGCAGCCCCTGATCAGGGAGTTTCACGGTCCACAGCAGGCTGCCACGTGGCACTGCATATGGCCACGCGCAGGCAGCAACAGGCACGGTGTCTCCCCACCGCTTGCGGGGGGGGGGGGGAAGGGGGACAAAGAGTCACCTGCCCGCTGCTGTTGTGTTGGCCGGTGCTCGAATGGGGGGGGGGGATAAATAGCTGGCACGACACGTCTTCAATACCAGCATGCCACCTTATCAAGCCATGCACATACTGTGGCCAGTGTGTTATAGAGGTAGCTACGCACGTGCAGGGTCAGCAACTGCCCAGGTTCAAACCCTGGCAGCTGCAACATCCCACATCTTGATAATTCGGGAGCTAGGCGGGGCGGGGCAGAGGAACGTGGGCCCGTATGCGTGTGCGGCGGCCTTGGACTTGGAGCACGTGTTGTGACGCCGTTTCTCTTTTCTCGCCACGTGCACTGTCCGTTTTTTGCTGTTTCCCTGCTGTGCGGTGTGGTGGGTGGGAGCGGGGAACGTTCGCGCTCTGATACCAGTGTAGCGGACCCACCAGGTGTGGTGCTCCGCCTGGGATAGAGATGGAGATCAAGGATGAGAGTCCCACACGGGACTCCGACGCACGTACTCCAAACTGTGCGATTGCAAAATGATCCGAAATTCAGACTCTGGCTGGGTTATACCCAAACAGACTGACTGGACTGGACTGGACTGGACTGGCTGGTACCTACAGAGGTACCGGCCTGGACTGGAGTACCCCCTGTGCAAATGCAGAATGATTCGAAATACAGACTCTGGCTGGGGTATACCCCAACGGACTGCTGGAGTGGACTGGACTGCCTGGTACCGACAGAGGTACCGGCCTGAACTGGACTACCCCGAGTACAACACGGTCTTATGAAAACAGGCCAAAGGGCTGGTCTCACAGGCCAACCTGGGGTCCGTTACAAAAACAAATCTTTTAGCCCCCACATCCTCCACAACCTCGTTTAGACAGATCCCTTCATCATAGCATCTTCCCTCTGATTCTCTGACTTTTTCTTGAACCCAGCATTTTGTGTCGCTCGAGTCCTCCCCTCACTCTACATACGAAAAAGGTAGGAATGAAGAGTAGTTATTCGGGCAGGGTAGAAGTGGAACAACACTGTGTACGAGGAAACCTACTGGTAATTGCGCCCGGATCTCTAGAAGTAAAGAGATAAAGGGACACTGTCAAAGCGAACCATGGGATCAGGCATCCTCGATGAAAATGTTTGATCTCTACGAAAGTTGCTACTTCTAAAGTCTGCCCAATCGACCGATGCTCTCTCCGCAGACTACCTACCCCGTGTCAGTCCGTAATTGCTCCTCTCAGTGCGGCAAGCTTGCCCTTTGCAGCGCTCTCTTTGTTACGCAGCCGACTACAAAAGATCACATTCACGTGGGGACTTCTATCCTGCTTGAATAACTACTCTTCATTCCTACCTTTTCCATATGTAGAGTGAGGGCATATTTCCTAACAGGTTTGTGCGCATTAATTATATTGGGATTCTCAATACCGTGAGAGCCGGTGAAAATTTCAACTCCGATCTTAGATTCAGTTTCCACAGTTATCCTGCTGGACCTAGTGGTTTAATGCCTAATTTCTATGCAGTGGGATTGATACGAACACATAAACCTCACGTGCCTCGCCTCTGGACCTGTGGGCACTTCGGAAGAAACAGATAGTATACACAAAGCGAACACGATAATTGACATCAGAGAGCAACCACCGCGCCTGTTTTCAGCTGTGTACTTCAAATGCCATGTCTTTGTGACACCACAACCACAATCTTTACACAGTGAAAGCAAACGAATTTACCTTTCCATTTATGTACGTCATCCTTGTGCAGGGCCCGTGCTAATCTTCTCTTCACCATTCCAAATTAACCAATCTCCCGCTTATCCAACAGCAGGCAATCTTCTCTCCAGACCTACTTCTGTTCCAAATGCCTGAACAGGAGCAAGCCCTACGGAATCCGCACTGTCATCCAAGCATTACAGTGTGCAAACATTTTTTTTAGGTGAAAAGCCACGGGGGGGTCGAGATGTTCGCGAAGATATTACAGCAAGCCCGCCGACAAACGGATGGCCAAACGTAGAGACACAAGCTGACAATGAGGATCCTGTAGAACAGCTAGACTAAACATCCTAACAGCAAACACTTCCTTTATGGGAAGACATACTCCATGTCAAGTAACGATCACCTGCAAAGCCCTTTATCTCCAAGTGTACCCAACTCCAAAACTTCAAATGTGTCATTGGACTCCCTCACACCACCAGTACCTGTACTTGGGCCATACAACAGCCACGGGCCCTTGTCGAATACTTCAGGGCCAATGGTACTTGGAGGCGCCTGCCAAAAGGAAAATTACACCACTTCATTTTTTTATGTTTTTATAGTGCAACGCATTTCCAGCATCGGAGAAATTGCCTCAGAAGTCGAAAGTACTGGTGGTTTAATACACCATCACGTGGCCCAAAAAAGACGGCTTTTTTTTTCTCCTTTTCTTTCATTAATCCACCTGGATTCCAACTTGGGCCTGTATTTCAATAGTTCATTGGTGTACCATACCAACTGAGCTAGGCCCCGTTCATTACATTACGCGGGCATACCAACCGAGCTAGGCCCGATTCCCTACACATTTCGCCCCGTTTCCACATACACAAGCCAGCCAAAATAAAAGTTATGCCCGTTCCATTTCTTTTATTTTTTTTTGTAATGCACACCTACAGGTCAGCACATACAGACACACCTGCGCCTCTTGCAATCCCGGGCAGATCACTGAAAACCGACAAATCATCGACACGCACGTTTCCAACGCGTCAGTGGACCCCTTCACAACATTGCATTCCATCTACAAGTCAATGAACGTATGATACCAAGACGAGGCGTATCAAATAAAGTCGTTACTTGCAGAAAATAAGAGAGTCGACAGCAAATGTGCCCGTAAATGCAAAATGTCTCCACCGTAAGGATCCTCGAAAGGATTACCCGTTCCTACATCAACTCCTCTGCACTGGAAAAGGACGCTCTCCATTCCCTTATGACGGCTGTTCCCTTATGACAGAAGTGAACCACCAGATCAGAAAAAGTCCCTACAAGAGAAACAGAAAAAGAGAAAATGAGCAGAGTCGTGGTTTTGAATGCTCTCCTGCCTGTCATAAGTGACACATCAAGACCAACATGTCAAAGCTTGCAACAACTCCAATCCAATCACCTAAACAGATGTCTTATGTACATGGTGGTGTAATACACACCAATCAGCACAACATCTGGTGATCATATCCCCACTCGTAACCTTTCTCCTCCTCCCTCCACTCCCTCTGCGGCAGCCAACATGAAAATGGCATGCCGTCAGAGAGGGGGTCAATTATTGCCGACCATCCAGCCACAAAACAAAGTTCCCGGAATCGTAAAAACAGAGGGCAGTGATATGCTGAGGGCAAACTCGCACTACGACTTCGCTACAACTACGCACGGGTCGCGCAGCACGTGTCTGCAATTGCAGTAGTCGGAAAAAGTCGACTCGTGTGAGTATAGCCCTGGCACGTTTTGGAAATGCTACTCTCTCAAGAGAGCCAGTCTCTTCACACTGAGCTCAACTTGATAATCATACCAAGTTCAAGATCAGCAGCATGAAAAAAAAACCACCATCACGAGCAGTTCATGCCTTCCGCGTACCCTGTCAAGAAAGAATCTTTTCCATGTCCGGTTACTCGAGACACCCAGACTACACCCACCCTTCCCCCTCCTACAATCAATTGAAGCACTACTCTACATTACAATACCTTACCCAGCGACATAAAACAACAGCAGCAAATAATTGTCCCTTGACTCACTTCAGCTTCTGCTTTGGCTATCCTGGCACTCCCATTCCTCTGCGCACTTCCTTCCTTGCACATCCTCCGACATCTTCCTTGCACATCAGCTAAACTGAAATCACCCATATCAGCAGCCAATTCCTCACTGGCCCACTATTCGCCAAGCACTCCATCGTGCTGCATACAACAGAAATGACTTGATCGCTCCTTGATGATTCTCCGCACTACTCCACACACTTCAGGCAGAGGAGCCCTTATGCATCCTGCAGCAACAAGGACAAGCTTCGGCAAGAGCTCTCTTCAGGGAATGCCAACTTCGAAAAGAATCGTTGGACACTAAGGCAAAACTCCAAACAATTTCAAGAGAAGTACATCAAAGCATTCATAAATAAGCTCAACAAGTCTACCCATCACCTTACCAAAAACGAAGAGGACGAAAATACTTGACGCCCGCCCGATTAACCTACCTAAGTACATTCCCCTCAACTTCAGGGCCCTCAAGATGGAACGACCACAATGCTCAGTAAGGCCTGAGGATACAACTGCCTTGAAACCTCTTAGCACCTCACAACCGGCATATTTCACTCTGTGCTCTCAAGAACACAACAAGGAATCAGTCACCTTCTCTGGCTTTGTCCTCTCTCTCTCTCTCTCTCTCTCACACACACACACACACACACACACACACACACACGCACACACACACACACACACCCACACGCACACGCACACACACACACTCCTCTACCGAAGTTCACCACTTAGGAAGGATTCCACCCCTTCTAGCGCTCTTTTTTCTCCTTAAAAGCAGTATAAACACGCACATCATCTGGCGCACGGTCCTTCCTTCAAGCACCATCAGGACATCGTCCACTTAATTGTTGACATCAAGACTAGCACCAGAGAAGTAGCGTTCTCAAGATAGAAGTGGATCAGATGCAGCAGAGAGATCCTTCTCAACGTCGGCGGGTTCTGCAACAAAACAAAGCCAACCAATCAGCGATCCCCTTTTGTTAGCTTCTAGAGAACAAAAGAAGAGGAAGAAAGAGCAAGCTCCAACAATCTTGTCTCACACATACACTAACACGTCAATATCAAGACGAGAGAAGGCACTACATTGACAACAACCACTCCATGCACATCTACCAATTTCCTTTCCACTCACTTCCCTACCTTTCCGGACAGCATTCTCTCTAATTGACCCGCCTGGATTGTCCATTCAGCGAAGCCACGGACAGCTACCAAGTCTAGACAGAACCCTGCTCTCAAGAGCCAATACCCAGCCTGTGGACCATCTGCCTCTGTGTTGCAACTGCCATGGATCGGGCACATGCATCTGATTCCCGGATCAGTTCCACAAGTACGGGAACCCTTGTTTTTTTTTCTTTTTTTTTTTAATGGCAAGAACCGTTGTTAATCATTGTTTCAGAAAAAAGCTTTTTTTTTTTGAATGGCAAGAACCATTGTTAAACATTGTTTCAGAAAAAATCTGAGTGCGAACTGTCCTCAGACAAAAGATCTGTCTGAGTCCAGGAATGTGTAGCTGTCATTCTTTTTCTTTGTTTTTCTAGCCATCATGTTGATAGGTTTTCTGATTGCTAATAGTAGAGGTATGAGTTGGCAAGAGAGAATCAACAGGTACGAGCGCTCCTACCATAGTTTTCTTTCAATCACTCGTTTAAAGAACGACACATCGACAAAGCAGAGACGACGAAGAAAGGAAAGTGCTACCGTAATAGGCAGGGAGAAGCTATACCCCTTACCCAGTTCCCGATTTATCTCCACAGGTGATCCTTCAACATCGAAACGAGATGGGCAGCACCTTCCTTACTGGTTAAACGTGAATGAATGAAGTCCCACTGCCTTGCTTCCATACGCGATCAGACAAACTTTGGTTCCTTGACATGGCTTTCAGACCCAGCTTCCCTATTGGTCACCGACACCCAGCTTCCCTATTCGTCACCGACGATCCAGCTTGGGCCGACTTCTCAAGTTTCCATCCAAGAAGTGATGTACTCAGTGAGTCAATGTCACACTAATCGTTATTCGTTACGCAATGCACTTATCGTACACAGGTCCGGATAGCCTGTCCTTCCTGTTTAGGAAAATCGAAAGAGCTGGTCATATCCGTTCATGATGAATATTCCTGAGCAATAAACACCATGCCTGCCTCGAGTAAAATGGAATAATCACTGAATGCGGATAGCCTGTCCTTCCTGTTTAGGAAAATCAAAACTTCTTCATATCCATCCATGATGAATAATCCAATCGTTATGCAATGCACTTATCGTACACAGGTTCGGATAGCCTGTCCTTCCTGTTTAGGAAAATCGAAAGCTGGTCATATCCGTTCATGATGAATAATTCGACTGATTGCGTCAGCTATTTCCTGAGCAATAAACACCATGCCTGCCTCGCGTAAAATCAAAATAATCACTGAATGCAACGGTCCTGTTTAGGAAAATCGAAAGGTTACTCATCTTCGAAAATGATGAATAATTCAGCTGATTCAACCTGATTGCATCACAGCTATTTCCTGAGCAATACACACCATGCCTGCCTGGACTAAAATCGAATAATTACTGAATAGTCACAGAAGAAGCACTGAATAATCACTGAATGATCACTGGCGCTCGATCCTGAGTGTTAAAAAATTCCGGAATATGTGCCCAGCACTTCGGCCGCGTAGTGGTCCATACACCTACACAACTATGAGCACTTATATATAGCGCTCGGCAAGTCGAGAATGTGAGCTCCCTCTTCGAGCAACAGACTGCCACGTGTTTTTTCCACATAAATGGCATCGATAACCGTTCCCAATAGAAGAGGCTAAATCCACAACCAACTTAAGTCATTTTTCGCACGTTTGATTGGTGACCACCACCACCACCTCTTTCTAGTATTTCATCTTTTCCTGAATTGAGAAAGCAGAACAAAATGCAATCACGCAAAACACCATGCCATCAAGCAGAACACAGCCAATCAATCCTGAGAAATTTTGTTCGTGTTCTATATCCCCTTCACGACTTGTCAATCCATCTGCTCCACGGGCCAAGTTTGACCCCGTCCAGGTTTGATTGGCGACCACCACCACTTTCTAGTATGTCATCTTTCTAGTATTTGTATATGGGAGTAGCATCTTCTTTCAATAGGCTTAAATCGAGAGTACCTCCAAGTCGTATTTTCCCAACGCATAATTTTGGGCCCCGCCAGACTACCAAACAGTGAGGGTCAGGTATCGGTCCGGTTCGCGGCAGAACAATGTACAAATTTATCACCAGAAGAACTAGGAATGGCTTTAGGTTTTCTACTATGAAGGGGTTTACATTTAGTGCTTGGGCGTCGATGAAACAAAGTAAATTAGATTCAGTATTAGAATTTTGAAGCACAAAGTTTATAGATCCCAAGGTGTATATATATGTGACAAAAATATAGAAATAATTTCCAATGCGCAAAACATTTACCACGCACACACTCGCACACAAACGCATGACGCACACACAGGCTCAGACACACACATGGATGCACAGATGCTCACACGCTCAAACACAAGAAATAACGGCGAAAAAAAATCCGACGTCGCTCATTCTGGCCTGTTTTCAACATTTTGTGGACATCTGTGAGCCATTTACCGTGACCGGCATGGCCACCATCCACGCTTTTGCCCTGCTGCTCTCAACGGGATCATCCACTTTATCCTTTTGCAGAACCCACAGAAAGGCCACAACCTGGAGGGCAGCGCTGGCAGTTGCAACTGGTCTATTTGCAAAATTTTGTAAATACTAAATAATTATTATACACCCACACATGTGCACACCCCACACGCTTTCTGCCCTGCTGTGCAACAAGATCATCCAAATTTTACACCACTTCCCTCGACCCAATCCCCCAGCACATATACTACCGTCTTCCCCCGAACACAACGCACCCTTATTTTGCCTGTATCTGGCCCGAAATATATCTTGTATACATTCATTTTTAGGTTGCGTTATGTTCAGGGGAAGACGGTAGTATGAACGAGATCCAGTGTTTCTAGGAGCCTCACAAGTACTTTGGGGCTTTTTTCTTAGCAAGCAGTTCTCTCACAGCAGTCGTCTCTTGCTGTAGCCCGCGCAGTCAAATGTTGACACTGCATAACTGGCCACGTTCTACTTCGGACTTTCAAAAATGAACACAAACCAACAGAGGGAGGACCGACTCCATCCAGACGGCAACCCCAGGAAGGGGGGGGGGKGGGGGGGAGAGGGGCTGAAGGAAGGGAGGCTGGCAGGGGATGAACAATTTGCAGGACTATACTTACTTGAACGAGACCTCTCAGTCTCTGCTACAACAGATAATCGCCTTTGCAGAACACCCGCCAGCACGAGGAAGCCCGCACACATTCCAAACATAGCTGTAATGGGAAACTTGCTCACCTGCACGGCAGAGAAGAAAAATAAAAACGCCATCAAAATTGATCAAATTAATTATAAATTCAATCCTCCTCTAACAGGAAAGCTGAGCCTGATGCAACCCAGCAAGCAAACAATGAAACACCGCAGAAAACAACGAAACACCTCACACCACTACAAAAACCGGAATGCATGTCTAGATGCTTGACATCGTGTCCGCTCTACAAGTTAAGACTGTCACGATCACCACTACAAAGTCGAATGCATGTCTAGATGCTTGATGTTGTGTCTGCCCTAGACGTCAGATTGTCACTACCATTCCGGCTGCATAGTCGCACAAAACAAAGTTCCCTCAAACAAACATTCCATTCAGGGATTACGTAATAGTGCGTTGGTCGACGACTCAGACCGCAAATTTTGTTCAATTCTTCGTTCTGTTCTGGACCTCAACCTCGGAGAATCTTAGCGCACCGTGATGTACTGCACGTTCGCAATAAGGAACATTTGCAATTCTCTTATGAAATAATGAAACTCTAATTTACGAGCAGAAGCAGAGAAGTTAGTCCAACATGGCCCTGACACACCTGAAGGCTGAAGCGCAATGGAGAAACAATCTTAAACGAAAATTAGAAAGATGAGCGTACGGTGGAACCAGCAACCCACTTGAATCTCAGGATTTTCTGATGGGGGAGGGGAGATTGGAATTATGATGGAATTCTTGCAAAATGTTCCGTTATTAACGTGTGACATGTACACCTTCCCCAACAGAAATGTCCAAATGAAGCAATAAATCAACTAGCTGCCAGAATGCACTGCCTTCCCAATGGAAACTCCATTGCAGCACACATGGACTGAGATTCGCCTTGATGGTACCTTCTCTCTCTCTCTCTCTCTCTCTCTCTGAATTTGCTGGAGTGTTCCAACAGTTCAACCTGTACGTCATCACATAAGCATTTGAGTAGATCAATGACCAAGGGTGTGGGGGGGGTGGGGCCAAGGGGGAATGACAAGTTTATGTAGCAGCTTACATTGTAAAGGACGATGCAGACAAAAATGTTCAGCGGAATTCTGAAGAAGTTCATAATCGTTGATCGTGATTCCTCTGGAATGTACTGGCTTCTCATCTTCATGATTGAAGGCCAGAAAATTCCAACACAGGCCTCGAATACCAAGAAACCAATCATTTGCAACCGAATGGAAGCAGAGAGTGGGCCTTCCTTATCCTCTGGCTCTCCAGCATCGAGGAACACCTGCATATGTGATCCATACACGAGCAATGCCATATTATAAGAGACGACGCCCCCCCTGACTAGATCACAAAGCATCTGCACAGGCATCTCTGCACGCCAGGCTGCTGTACTCGACAATTGCAACACAAAAATAGGATAGTAGGAAGGTATACCAAACTGTCGGGTAAACACGCATCACGAGCTGAGTAGTGGAGAAGTGATGACAGTCGCACCAGAAAAGACAGGCAAGCGAGTATACATCACTATAGCCTATTATTTTGATCAACGGTGGTACATTTTCTCTCTGAAAATTTTCCTTTGAAGTCTCGACCTTATTCTTCCAACTTTCCCCTCCAATATACTTGGGTTTGATTTATCCTCAGACTCAGTTACCTTTTCATTTATTTGGATCTTATATCCTTGTTTCCACTATGTGGTTGTTGTCCCTTGTTCAATTCACGTTGGGATTCTGCCTCCACTTCTTCCACACCCGCAATAGTTCCCTAAACGCATAGAGGGAGGACAACACCGCCATCACTGAGTCCGAGGATAAATCAAACCCCAGTATAACCCCCAGAGAGGGACCTTCCACAGGTCAGGCCTAATGAGGACAATCAGGGACAGTCTGCCACTGGCTCTCTGTTCGTGCTCAGAAAGCAAGAACCTGATCATAAAACTGGGCAGATTCGCGCTAGCACAGCAAAAAATATCCGGCCCAAACCTCATCGGCATCTAGTGTCTCACTGTGCACTATGCTTACATCTCACATATCCAAAACAAAATGTTGATCGACATCACCAATAACAGCACAAGAAGTAGCCGGTTCACTAACACGGCCATGAGTGAGCAGAAATATTGTCAGATCACACACAGTGACACCTCACAATCCACTCACATCATCAATACACGCAAACAAACATTATATAGTATATTCTGTTCATCGGTCAGTCACTTTTCCCACAAGTGAGAATGTTTTTGTAGGTTAACAACACATAACACACCCACAGGAGGCCTCCGTCTTGCGAAGAATGGATCACGTCGACATATTCATGAACCTGTTCCCTATAAATGTCCTCTGGGACATTCGTTAAACTCAGAATGGTGCACAAGAGTAGCATGGCCCCTGCCTGCATAATTGGGGATGACGCGCAAAATAAAGTCAGGGCCCAATATCCAGAGGATAAAAGGAGACAACTGGCACAAGGACAAAGACCAAGACATACACAAAGAACAAAGCCCCTCGAGGATTTTCAAAATGTATAATAATGCATGGACCGTTCGATCGTGTGCAGAAACGGGGGTGGGGGATTCTTCGCTCAGAGAGAGTAGACGCTCACCTGAGCATAGACAGGCACGAGCAGCGCCAGTGCAGAAACACCAAAAACGAGCTCCATGTAACTTTCAATTTTAAGGGTTGCCCGTGCCATCAGCCTTGACGCGAGTGAGCTGCCAATCATGGAGGCCAACATGAAAGTGGCAAAGATGAATCCATGAGGAATCTTCTCCCCGTGGGGGCTGAGGGCAGGTGTCCAGAGGAAGACAAACGTGTACATGGAACCCTCAAACAGGGACTGGATGGCTCCCAGGAGAGCAATCTTCTCATCTGCACAAGACCAATAGGGAGAAAGAGGACGCGCATGTCACAAACAGCCATTATCATTAAAACACATCACAGAGAATGTTACAAGATGAGGGGTGGCTGGGGGAAGGGAAGGGGGGC